CTGGACGGAGCGGGCGCCCGGAGCCGGCCCGCCGCGCCGCACCCTCCCCGGGCCCCAGGACCGGCCAGAAAAACGACTTTATCTGCCAAGCAGAGGCAACTTCGGGAGGAAAATCTGCATTAACCCAGTTCTCTTCCCCCGCCTCCCCGTGCATACATAAAATGCTGAGTGTCTAGGTGTGCGGTCCCCTCGCCAGCTCCCCGGCTCCCCTCCCTACCTCCCCCAGGCGGCCCGGGCCGGGGAGAGCAGCGCCCGGGGGCCGGCGAGAGCGGCTGGAGCGCTGGCTGGGACTTTCGGCTCCTGCCTTCCCAACCCCCCTCCGTGGAGCAGTGTGGGGACCCAGGAGTGGAGAGGGAGTAGGGGCTTTGTGGCGCTGGGAGCCGAAGAAGAATGAAATGTGCAGTTGAGTGTGTTGCCCGCATCCCAGGGAGCAATGCAGGGCTGATTGTCTGTTGCTGAGATAGCCTTTTGTTCGGAACATAAGGTTTAAGAAACACACACACGTTTTCTGGGGTCTCTTGTTAGATGTAAATGTGCTACATCCAGACGCTTACTATGCAGTGTAAGCTCAGTTGGTTTACTAATCACCCGCCCCACCCCCAAACAATCAGGATCATTTGAATGGGAACCTCATTCAGACTTCTAGGCTGAGAGTATTGCCTTCAGCCTATTTCATTCTAGACTAGCCAACCATCCAAGTGAGATAATAAAGCAAACAATAACATTTGATCATGATGTCTACGAGATAATGTCCCCGCCAAAGTTCTGTAGGAATTGTAATAAGAAAGAGAGTAAGTTGAGTAATAATTTCTCTTCCTTTTCATTAAATATGACTTTAATAGACAAATTGTGAGTCTATACTTTGGCCTAGTGGTGGGCACCCAGTCCACTATATTTCGACTAAGCTAAGAATGAAAAGGGAAATTATATATTCCACCGGAAACCCATCAAGCTGCAAATGTTACCTTCGAAGGTTGGAGCCAAAAAGACACTTGCTTAGGAATGACTCTCTTCCTAACTGTTCCTATGTCCCCAGCTTCTCTGGTGTAGCTTTAATAGACTAAGATACAGCTCTCCAGATGCGGAAATCCAGCTACTTAAAAAATACCAAACGTCTACTTTGAAATACGTTTTACTCCTTTGTGTTTTTCTCACATTTGCGTTGATGCATTTAGTTAACATAATAAGAAAATAATTGTTAAATCTAGGCAAACGACAAAATTTAATGCCAATAAGTGATTGGAGATATTAACAAATATTTCTAAGGCCTGAGATTCCCATTTTAAATGGATTTGACCTTTCTGCACATTAAAACAGAAAACACAACTGGACTTCGCAATAAAACAGAAGAATTTTATTTTGTTGTAATGACACTGAAACCCCTTAAGTTACAAGTTACAACACAGCATTAAAAATAATGAAAAATTGTTTGCTAGATTTCATCACAAAGAAAATACCTGTGTGTCGCTGTTGAATTAAGTGTGGATGGAATTTTAAAAACTGTGGAAAAACTCGTAATTTCAGTTATTGCCCATTTGGGAGATGACAACCAGAAACCTGGACACACAGCAGATGCTCTGTGCAATCCATGCAAACCTGCTTGGTCCTTGTTTGTTCCAGAAAGTTCAGAGCTCATCAACCTTTAACGCTAAATTACTGGTGGTCAATTTACAGTTCCTTATGTGAATGAAAATGTTAAATGAAATATAATAGAATACCTATTGAGTATAGAAACATTGTATTTTGGTGAGACTTAAACCATTTCACATGCAATACCTGAAAAGATCCCTACTCTTTTTAAAAGAGAGGAAACAAGTGAAGTCAGCAAGAATATATTAATAGGTAATAACTAGTACTTTTAAAAATTCTGTTATATACTCATTGGTTGCGTTATAAAGTCCATTGTTCAACATGTCAATGAGTATAATTAACTGTGGAATCGAAGAAAAGGAAAACTAATTCAGAAAAGCACTGCATGTATTTACACAGTTTTAAAATTGTTCAAAATTGTACATACTCCAGGGGCACCAAAGACGTATGCTATAGAATATCCATTATGTGGTTTGCGTGACCCGTAAGACCCACCATGGATCTGCACTGCTCTACAGCTAACATCTTTTTCTTTTAGTCATAGATAAAGTATACTTTCCTGTAATTACTTTAAGCAAAAGAAAATAAAACACCTTTGTTTTTCATGGAAATGTATTGCTTTATTTGCAAGGTTTACACTTGTTGACATTTTAAAATATTTTTCATGATGTGGTATGATTAAGGAGAATTTTACTGGCCATAGTCTTCTATCTATATTCATCTTGAAAACTTGCCTTCAGAAGGAATTTTCTGGCTCTAAATAACATCCATGTCTATGTTTTATGAAACTTTTCTGTAACAACGTGAGAATTAGAAACTGAGGAAAGAAGGCTGATTAGCTAATCAAGGGAACACTTAATACAGAGAAAAACTGATTTGACTAATTTCTTCCCACGGCCTGGCTCAGTTATATGGAATATTTCTTTCTTTTAACTGGATCTGGTCTAATGCAGAGACATTAAAACATAATGAATTGTATTTTGACAGAAACATGAATTTCTAATATCAAGTGTAATTTAGTGTGGGCTTTTTGAGAAAAATCAGAAAAAAATAAACATAACCATTATTTTCCTTCTGGAGTGTGCGTACATGTCTTTGCACACCTGTGCTCCTCGCCTTCTCAAGTTAAAGGAAAAGAATTTGTTTACTCTTTTCCTTGTCTTATTCTTATATAATATCAGGAACAGCAATGAAAGTGAAGGAAGGCTAAGGAAATAAGTGAGGCAATACTGGGTGTGATTCTGCAGCTGACTGTGTTTTTCTGCACTGAGTGGACCAAGGACAACATGAGCCAGTGTGGTCACAGAGGCGCACCTACCTAGCCAGGAGAGAGAAGAAAAGAAAGCCGAAGGTAGGCAGCAAGAAGAAGAGATTCAAAAGGGAAGGGGAGGAGATATTTTAAAGAGAAATGTAAGTCCAAAGGGCTATTTAGTATAGTTTTCATAAAACGTTGAAGCATAATTCACTTCAATTTTTAAATATTATTTTTTACTTTGGAACTTGAGCACTAAACATTTTAATAAAGCTGAAAATTCATAATAACTGCTTTCAAGCTACTATGTTTCAGGAAGCACTCCAGGACTTAATAGCTGCTTAGAAAATCTAGATTTTTTTTCCTTACTGCTCATAAATCTAAGCTAACTCTTACAATAAAGGACCTTAGTGCCACAAAAAATGTTAATGCTTCCATAGTATTGAAGTGTATTTTAAAGAACATCATTTACACCAAAATTCAACTATGACTTGTAGGAAGTTCTTGTGTACCTTCTCTCCACCCCAAATGCTAGTAAAAACTTAAGAGCTCACTGAGGAAAATACCTCAGATTTTTCAAAATTACACTTGACATGCAGATATTGCTCAATGGTATTAGAGTGGTCCCCACAGCTCCCAAGTGACCTACCCCTGTGGTAGGGACAACCAGGGATGTCCTGTGGTGGGGTCACTTTAGATATTTTCTTGGCTGGAAGATATGCTTTCTCCTAATCACTGGAAGATTGATTATATTTTTCATTCACATGTATTTGCAGTATTCACATATTAACTGCAACCTTTGCCTGAGTTTACACAGTTCTCAATTTCCTTCAGAAACAACATAGTGAATTTTTACTGTGGTTAAATGCAGTACACAAAAAATTGGAGGGGATTGAAAGAAAACTGACATTAACATTTTATGGACAAAGCCAGATAAATATAGCTCGACGAGAATGTTCTAAGTACACTCACAGAAGAATTCTTCCCAGCATGTATGGGTTTTTTTCTTGAAAGTGAGGGCAGCTCTTTTGGACTCTGCAGCCTCAATCTTTATCTTTTGACACTCAAGTCACTTCTAGTGTCCAAAGAACATGTTGTTTTTACCTCTGTGTTTCTCTCTGTCACCACGCCTTCTTTCTGAATTGTTCTTTCTTCTCCTTTTTTGCAGATTTCCTTAGCAATTTCAGCATTTACTTCTTCCCAACCTAAACCCAGACTTCCCCTGGGCACTGAAATGTCTTTGCCTTGGACTCTGATTGGAGGCTAGAGCAGTGGTTCAAATCCCTGGCACGTGTGCCACAGCAGGCTGTCTGTAGTCCTGAAAACTGGAAAAGGTTCGCTGTCACTCGTCTAATATAACTCTTTCTGTATCTTCGCAGCACTTTGGAAGCATCCTTGTGTTTGACTCTTCTGTTAGACTGTGAGCTTCTTAAAGGCAGGCAATCTTCCCTCTTGCTTTTCTTCCCTCAGCCCTTAAATTAATAATGATGGTTCCAAGTAAATGTTTACTGAGGAAATTAGTGAGTTGATGGGTAGAGGAAGTAGATGTGAGTAAAGGCAGTTAGAAAGGAAATTGTGTGAGTCTTTTGCTGGAAAACACAGATATTCTAGTTGGACTCAGCTGTAAAATAACACAGCTACAAAATAACAAGGATGGAAATCAGAATGGGGGGCGTATATCCCAGTGGAACTCACTGAGGTACTAATTGGGAAGTTTGCA